TGTCCTTGAGACTCGTTTCCAGAGGAAGGAAAGTGATTCCCAAACATTTTGCTTTCTCCCTTGGACACTTGAAACTTGGAGCCAGAAGGATTGCCAGGCTCACAAAGGCTCAGTGTGGGGTAAAGCTCTCGTAAAATCTTTAGAGTATCGGGACCATCAGCAACTTGTGCAACTAAACAATATCTGCCACTAGCTGAAGGAACTTCAAATGCTTGAATATGAGCAAAGGCAACATCTCTAACATCCACAAATGCATAGTTTATAAAAGGTGTTTCGATACCTGAGCACAAAAGAGAAACAAAACAGAATAAACCCTGGATGTATCACAAGGAATAGTGTTTTAACATAAAGGGGGTGAATTGTACCACTCATTAAATTCAGAAGAAACTCGACGGAGAGATTAAGAGTTGGCTGTAAGAGTGGACCAATCACAATCCCTGGATGTATTGTTACCAAGTCAATCCCATTTCCTTTGGCAAAATTTCCAGGCGGCCTCCTCAGCTAAAGTTTTTGAGAGAGGATACCATTGCTGAACAAATAAAGAAGGAAGTTCTTATGAGTTTGTAGTTCATCATGTACTGCTTTGTATTGTGTTAAGCTTACATCTGTCTAAAATTATTCAATAGTATGGGAACGCACGTACCTTGATCGTCTCACAAAAAAGTGGATCCGAGTACCATGTTTCATCCATAACCACATCAGAGGTCAGAGGTTTTCCACTCAACCTTACTGAAGCCAGAGAAGATGTTAAAACCACTCTCTTGACGGCAGGGAATTTTGCGCATGATTTTAGAACATTAAGTGTTCCTTTCACTGCAGGCTCAATTATTTCTACCTGAAACATAGAAACGAAATAATATTATTCTAGTTTCTACATCATTTCTCTTGAAGGTGTATCGATTTTCAATGCATTCGTGAGCGCACACACACGATACACTTTTTGATGGATGCATGAACTGAAGGGACAGACCTGTGGGTCAGTGGCTGAAAATTGTGCAGGCGATGCTGTATGAAAAACACCTACACATCCATCAATTACGCCGTCAAATGATCCTTCTTCTACTAGATCGGCTTTGAACAAATGAAGCCTCTCCTTTGCTCCATCTAATGAGAGCAAGTGTTCTGTTTTCTTTGCATCATCTGTATGCAAAACCCAGAATCTGAAATTATTGAATGAATTGTTTGAAGTTGAACAGTATATATGAGCAAGTGTAGAAATACTGACTTGGATCGCGAACAGTGGCTTTGACGGTATAACCCTTTTGCAGTAAGAGCTTCACCAGCCATGATGCTATGTAACCAGATGCTCCTGTTACACATACAGTCTTTGATTCTCCGGTACTCATTTCTCTCTCTCTCTCTCTCTCTCTCTCTCTCTCTCTCTCTCTCTAGCTAAGAATTAATAAGCTTAATTTGGTTCAGAATTGTGTTTTTCATGGTGAAAGGTCAGCTGGAAATTAAAGGTCAATGTTGCCAACTTGTCTTCTTCAGCTCTGAATACTTTTGTAATGGCAAGCCATTGTTTATTTTGAATGTTGACTAAACAGGTGTTGGGCAGGAACTAATCTTAAGTTAGGGGTAGCACTTGTTCCAAATGGTTGCAAGAAATATTAGGAGTCCTTTAACTAATATTTCTTTAAAAGTAGTGAAGTGAAGCAACAACTTCTTAGTAGGAATCTCGTTTTATTCTAGCAAAAACAGGATACGGACTAGGAACCATGTATATAGGACTCTTATTTATTTCACCATCTCCCTTTTTTTCTTCAATATCTTATACGGTAATACACGCCACTGGGACATGAAATGGCTATGAGAGAGAATCTCTCACTAAAACTTATGTCATGGCAAATTATAGTTTATTATGAATGTTGACAAAACAAAATAGAAAAATATTATGAAGGAAGAAGAAATATTAGTATTGGCAGGATATTTCAAATTCAAACACTTTGCAAACATTTCAACACCTAATCAGAAATGATTCAACAAACCAGTTTTTTCATGCCTTTCTAAGATTATTTATTTATTTATTTGGAAAATTGTCCATATATATATATATATATATATATATATATATTTTGGTCAAGAATAAAACTTACAATTAATTCTAGAAAGGCCTAAACCTAAACAAAACACAATACCCTACACAACAAAGCAATACATAAAATAGAAGACAAGCTCAAAAAGGAGAGCTACAACCCCAATTACAGAGCGAGGCCCATACAAATTTAGGCCCGTTGACAACAACAACAAAAAAAAAAAACAATAAAAATCCTAATCTCCAGCCGCCAAAAGTCAGTCACCACCGCCGTTATCTCCACGAAACATGTTACACTCCTGTATTCTGTTAAATCACAAGAACATTACTACAAACAGATGTCAATCATGTTCTAGGACAGTAAGGGGAAGCAACAAATTAACTAGAGTGCACATCGATTTGACAACATAAAACCCCAACACGTGAGGAAACGTCCTTGGACACTCCTTAATTAGGGGTGCTTTAACAAAGATTCTTTTAAAGTTGTGAATTTGGACACTGAGATCTAGTCACCTATGTGGCTGTCTGCCGATCAATCTAAGAAACTAAGAAAGTCTTGACAGGAAAGACATTGTTATTTTTTGGGAGAGCAATGAATCAAAGTGACGCATAACTGAATCTCAATGGATCGAGCATGGCAGCTAGGCCAAATTATTTTCATTGGAAACAGGAAACAGATGACTTTCATCATGTCTTTGGAGTACTCAAGCAGAAATCAAACTTCCGTTGCCGAAGATACTTGAACTGTTGTCCGAGTTGGATAAATCAAATCTGCAGGAAGCCCTTCTCCTTCATGCTTTCAACAGTGTCCCTCAGAGGTGATTTCCAATGGGTGGAAGCTAAGTCCCAAACCTGTTGCTTTCTCTGAGGATACGTGATATCTTGGGTCTGAAGTATTGCCAATCTCAAATCTGCCAACAATTACCAAAAACAATAGAATAATAAATCCCTTAGAAATAATTCTTGTAATAGAAATGTCGAGCTTTCGGTGTACACAATTGAGTTATTTTGTACAAGCATCTTTAATTATTGGAAGAAATTCCTAACTGGTACAGATTTCGTTTCCAAGTCCAAATCTTATGTTTATTTCACTCTCTGAAAGAACTTACCTTCAAACAGATTTGACCGTGTTTAATTCTACAGAACGATATGACATTATGTGTGGTAAAGTAAACGGGCACAAATTTGAGGCATTTTGCATATGAAACTTACTTTTCAAGAAGCAAAGTGGGGGTAAAGTTCGTGTAAAATCTTCAGAACCTCGAAAATGTCTGCAACATGTCCAACTAAACAATATCTTCAACTTGCTGAAGGAACTTCAAAGGCCTGAATGTCAGCAGAGGCAACATCTATAACATTAATGAATCTGCAGTTTGAAACAGTCGATTGGGTACCTGCACAATAGTGAAACATAAGCCAATCAACTGCTTCAATAAAAAAATTAGTGGAAAATAAAAATGGAAGCTGTAAGAGTGGACCAGTCACGAACCTCGGATGTATTGTAGCTAAATCAATCTCATTTCCTTTAGCAAATTCCCTGGCAGCTTTTTCTGCAGAACAAAAAGAAAAGGGGCAGATAATACTAAGCATTATCCATCTCTTTTATAATTGCACCCAGACACCTTGTTTGGTGATTAGATTAGATTAGATTTTGTTTCAGCGCGACACAGAAATATAACAAATTAACAATGAAAAAAGATAATAAGAATCGGAAATTCATACATACCTTGTACTTCTCGCAAACAAGTGGATCTGAATACCATGTTTCATCCAAAACTACATCAGAGGTCAGAGGTTTTCCGCTCATCATTACTGTACCCCTCTCTTGACAGTTGGAAATTTCACACATGGTTTTAGAACATCAAGCGTTCCATTCACGGCTGTGTTAACTAGTTCTGCCTGACATATGGACAGAAATATCATGCTGGTTTCCACATCATTTGTCTTGAAATTATTCATTCTACACGTGCACGCAGGAACATATGATAGAGTATTTGAAGCATAAAGTGAACGGACAAACCTGTGGGTCAGTAGCCGAGAATAGTACAGGTGATGCTGTGTGAAAAACGGCTTCACATCCATCAACTGCAGCATCGAAAGATCCTTCTTCCAATAAATCTGCTTTGAACAAATGCAGCCTGTCTTTTGCTCCATCTAGTGAGAGCAAGTGTTCTGTTTTCTTTGGATCATCTGTAGCATACATGAACAGAACTATGAGTTGAACCAAGAATAGTACAACCACATTAGATAGGGACGTATGTGTACAAGGCAAAGTAGCAAACATTGACTATAGTCATTGCCAATTGGCAATTGAGCTAGGCCTACCATAGTATCCATAACGAAAAAAAAAGAAGGCAAATACTTGGTTCCTCCAATTGCAAATAGCATCCTATCCAATCACAATTTTCATGTGTGCAGAAATTGTTCTTTTTTTGTTTGTAACGAGTTATTTCTGCATACTTGTCAAACTCTGATTTACGGGACAGAGAGACGACTTTCCAGGAAAGAGCCAAGAAGTGTCCAAAACAGAGTACAGATTTGATACGAATTGTTTCAACTCTATCATTTATGCATAAAGTTTTGGCTAATAAGCTTGATCACTAACAGCTAGCAAGAATGTCAAACCAGTTCAAGGCCTGGCATTAACTGGACTTCAAGAAATACACTAGAACTACAGATGAAGACCTACACCGAAAATTTTAGGATTTTCTCTTGCTGGACGAAACGATATACAAAACACAGAACTATCAATCCAACATCAAATGATCATTAATTCTTTGCTTCTTTACAAATGACAAATTCCAAATGATGTAATCAGAGTCTAAACACTTTATAGCACATCTCATACATGAAAGTTAATGCTCTAAAATTCAACTCTCTCTCCTAAACCATGAAAAGAGCATCCAAAAAGTTCACCAATTTTTTCAAAAAGCAAACTCTCTGCAAATGCAATTTCCTGAAAAAAAATCCTGCTGATCACTTTCATTAGGGTCCAACTTTAGCTTGATCACCTCCATATTCTTCCTTGCCCAACAAGTCACCCAAACCCCTATTTCTTTTCTTGAACCTCTCCTCAACGCTCTCCAAACGCCGAAGCACAGTCTCCACCAGAAAATCCTTGCCCCTGCAGTTATCGAAAAACAAGTGCTTCAGCAGTGTCTCTGACGCCGGCCTCTTCGCTGGGTCTTGATCAAGGCAAGAACCCACCAAGTCCTTGAAAGCCACAGAGTACTCCTTGTTCTTGAAATCTTTGATGATGTTTTCGTAGTCAGAAAACTGGTACCTGTTCTTGACCTTTAGAATCTGAGATTCCAATAACGGTGGCAGGCCAGACAGGGGAGGACAGCCGCGAGCCAATTCCAGTGCCATGATCCCAAATGCCCAGATATCCACCTTGCATCCATCTCCGTAGGGCGCCACCCTATCTGGCATTGCCGAAGTGTCGTTTGTCCCAGTTGGCGTTGCCGAAGTGTCGTTTGTCCCAGTTGAATGATCGGCGCCGTAGAAAGAAGCAGAGACCCCGAAATCGGCGAGCTTAACGGACCCATCAGAGTCAACCAAGATGTTTCCGGGCTTGATGTCGCCGTGGGTGTGTCCCTGGCCATGGAGATACGACATGGCGTTTAGCGTCTCTTTCAGGAAGACAGCAATGCAGGGCTCTGGTAATCCTTGAGGGAAAGCAGGGGAGGAGATTATTATGGACTGCAGAGAGCCGAAGGCCATGAATGGCATGACCACCCAGAGACGGCGCTCGGCGGTGGTGAAGGAGCAATGGTTGCTGAGAATGTTGGGGTGGGAAAGAGACAGAGTCTTGGTGTCGCGGAGCTTGCTCTCGAAATCGGCCGTGGATTGGTCGAGGTCGACGGACTTTATTGCGACGACTGCAGAGTTCATGGGGATGCAGACGGCCTTGTAGACGACAGCCTTGTCGCCAGAGCCAATTTCTTGGAGGTTTTCATACGCGGCCGAGTCCAACGGGAATTGGACCTTTTGTGGGTTATCTTGGCGGGTGGAAGAAGACGAAGAAGTCGCCATTGGATACGACAAAGATGAAATCTTGAAGAATGGAAGTGGGTTGTTTTGATTTCTGGGAAATGGCTTTTGATGGAGAAGATGAATGTAGGGATTCTGCAGTACTAATTCTAGTGAAAGGTTGATGCTTTGGGAGGAAGACGACGATGTATGAGAATGTGTGTGACTGTGTACTGCTCTGCTTGTACTTGCTTATATAATAAGAAATGGTAAGAAGATGAGGGTATTTTGGGGATTTTCCATTCCAATTGGGGGTTGAAATTATAGATAAGTTTTACTTCTTACCCCTAGATTTTTTTAATTAGCAAAATCAACAACATTCTGTTGTGAGGCGGTTTTGGTGATTAGGATTGGGTGAGGTTGGTTAAGATAAAATACAATTGGTTCGTTTTCTGTTATTTTCCATCTCAGCAATGTCTTGGGAGGCAAGGCATTGTTAGTCCTGTTGTGAGTACCTCGTATAAATATTTCGAAAGGAATATAAGCATACAAACAAAATACGTATTTGAGACCCAATTCCAAGAACAAAACTGACCTACTAACCTATTGAAATCATTCTTCAAGACTAGAGAGACCAAAGTTTTAAACAAATTTTGTAAACAATACGACGTGATTGTTGATAACTGAAGTAAATAAACCTAAATACAAGAACTTAGACCAAAGACGACATTTTATTTCACATGCTCACTTATGAGCAGAATGGCATGAGAGAATATCCAAGTAGATATGTCATGAATTGTCGACGATTTTGCTGACTAGCCGAACAACGAGGAGTTCCATGATCAGAAGAAGTTCTTCTCCTTCAAACCTTCAGCGGTGTCCTTCAAAGACACCTCCCGAGGAGTAAACTCAACATCGAAAGTCTGAGCTCTTTCCTTGGATATCTGGTAAGTTGGCGTGAAAGGTCGATCATCTTTACATCTACCCAAAATAGAGTCACATCAATGTCATGGATCCCTTTAGCAAAACTACGTCTCTAGATGACTTGACCAAATCAACTCAAAAGAAACAGCAACCGAACAGTACCTTAGTGCATAAGCAAACCTGTACTATCCTTAGAAGCAGTTCAATGTAGGACTAAGACGCAACAATTTGGTTATGTTTAGCAACTTACTTTTCGGGAAGTTTGAGAGCAGGGAAGAGATCACGGAAAGTTTTGACAGCCACAGAACAGTGTGCTACGCTTCCAACTATAGAATACCTCCCACTAGCTGAAGGATTCTCAAAGGCTAGAATATGCCATTAGCAACATCTCTAACATCAACCCATCTATGAGTTACATTTGGATACTTTTTCGGTTCTTGCATAAATTGTACATCCGGAACAATTAATATTTTCATAGATTGTAAGTTATCACAGACACAGAGGTAATGAAGACAGCACATGTGATATTACTACTACTGCCTACTGGTAGCAAGAGTTGCGTACTCATGATAACAGAAGGGAAGGGAAAAGAAATTGTAATTGAATTTGAATATAGAAGAAACCGCAAATAATACTCGAGAAAGTCCCAAACAATTATAAAAGATGTGCATGAAACCAGTAAAATGAACTTTGGATGCATGAGTTGTATTGGTATAGAAGTGAGATATGTTAGTTACTAATAGCTTTCGAGGCAAGGATTTAAATGTAAGTCCTCTCTTCTGTACAAAATGAAAAAGTTCTGGTGGAGAAACATCGACTTGGCGACAGCTAAAAGAGATGAAGGAAGTATTAGCATCTCAGATTCTTACACTTACCAAAGACGTATGGATCTGGACACAACCATTCCTGGATTTACTGCAACCAAATTGATTCCATTCTCCTCTGCAAACTTCCAAGCAGCTTCCTCAGCTGAGGTTTTTGAAAGCGGATACCAAAGCTGATAAAAACAAAGTCTCAATGAGCACAATGAACATATTTTTATATCATGAAAGAAATAAGATTTAAACCTTCTCCGGTGATGTTTTTATTACAAGAGGAATGCTATGCAATGCAACCAGACCAAGATGAATAAACATACGAGCACCGATTGTTCCAGTATATTTAGTAAGAAACTACGTCTTTCAGTTCAGATTCACTACCTGGCAAGGCATTTTTAAAGAGTTGTAATAGCCTAAAAGTTACTCAGAACTAAACTCACTAAGAAAACCGAGGCGTATTAGATAAAGCAAAACAAGAAGTGACTTCTGCAATGTATGCAGTAAACAATCAAACCATTAAGAACAGAGAAAGAAAACATAGTAAGATGGTAAAGCAGAAATTACATATTATTGTATGAACCTGGATGCATATAAATATATAAGGCCAAGTTCCATCTGATTTTCCATTACATAAACTAGATCTTCAAGTGAAGCATTCCTGAATAATGAAAGAGAATTAGCGTATTGTGTACAAACCTTTGATTTTTCACAGAAAGCTGGATCTGAAAACCAAGATTCATCGACTACTGCATCAGCAGAAAGAGGTTTTCCAGTAAATACAATTGATACGATGGAGGATGTTAGAACCAGTGGACTCCTAGAAATGCAGCTTGTGTACTTAAAACTTCAGGTGGAGTTCCTGTTAGGTTATTAGCTGATACACGGAAAAACTTCAAGTTGCAAAGTATCCCTATGGAGCTCGGAATCCCACCCTCGACATTTTTGAACAAAAGATAAAAATAGGTAAGAGCTGTCATGTTGCCAAAGGAAGCAGTGTCATGTTGCCAAAGTATCCCTATGTATTCTACTTAAATATTTTCGACTTGGGATTACAGAATGTTCAGGATCCAATACAAAGTTCAAACTTCATATTTCACAGTATTTAAAACGTAGTTGAAACAAATTCCAAAGTACAATTAAACTTCACAGAAAGAGGTCTCATGCAAGAGTTTTGTGAATGTTGGAAGAATGCATGCAAGTCATATCTTGTGTTAAAATACATGCATGAAATAAACATGTTGGATGACTAGTGAAGTTAGGCTAGTCAACATTCTTTGTGTAAATTAGGCAAGTTAGGCAAGTTAGGAAATTAGGCATGTTAGGCAAGTTAGGCAAGTTAGGCTTATGTCTACTTTCTTTTCCTATATATATGTTTCATTTGTAATTGTTTCTTCATGAAATACACATCAAAAATTCTACATGGTATCAGAGCAGGTTCATTTGTAACCTGTCTCTGCCATTCTTGCTGCTGCAATTTTTTCTTTCTTTCAAAGTCTAAGTCATGACTGAAGAAAGTTCTGTGAACCATGATGAGGAAACCCGGCACAATCTCTCTCCAAACTTCTCAGACGTTGAGGTTAACACCAATCAATGTTTGTGTTCAGTTCTCTTGAACGAGTTCAATTATCTTCCTTGGTCCCGAGCTGTTTCACTAGCTCTTGGAGGCAAAGGGAAGTTAGGGTTTGTAAATGGAAGCGTGGAAGCTCCAAACAGTTCTTCCTCTACATACAATGCATGGCTCTGCAAAGATCAACTTGTCATGTCCTTGCTGCTCAACACCATGGAGAAACATGTTGCTGAAATTTTTAGCTACTCCAATTCCGCACATGATCTTTGGAAAGCTTTGCAGGATATGTATGGAAATCAAAACAACTATGCACGGGTCTTCCAATTAAAGAAGGACATTGCCAGTGCTCAACAAGAAGGGAAAGCATTTGTTCAACACCTTGGGAGCCTCAAAGCCATGTGGAATGAGTTGGATGTATATCTTCCTCATACCACAGATCCTACCATTCTCCTAAAACGAGCTGAGGAAGACAAAATTTATCAGCTGTTAGGGAGTTTGAGCTCTGAGTACGAGGACCTAAGGAGTCACATCTTGATGAGTCAAGACCTGCCTACCTTCAACAATGTTTGTGCAACTATCCAACGAGAAGAAGCAAGGAAGAAGGTTATGAATGTTGATCACAATCCTAGATTAACAGAGACTCGGGCATATGCATCAAAGTACAAGAACTCAGAAGCCAAGGTATACAAGGGAAGAAACACACATCTAAAATGCAAATATTGCAATGGTGTTGGTCATGAGGAAGACAAGTGTTGGGAACTTCATCCTGAACTCAAGCCTAAGTTCAGCAAAGATGGAAGGATGATACCAAGGTCCTCACAGCAATTTCAACCTCATTTCAAGGCACAACTTGTTAATGCTCACGCTCCTACTATCTCACAAGGATCCATGGAGTTCACTGCCAATCCATTGTCATTGATCAATGAATTTGCAGCTTACCTACAAAGTAAGGGGCACGGAGGAGGCTCACATGGTCAAGGCAATGAAGAGGGTAGTCACACAGCTATGTTGGGACAATTTGCCGGATTTCTTGCTGGAAATGAGAAAGTTCCAAAGGGAGAAGCATCAGGTATACTCAAAGCCTTTACTACTGCCCTATTAACTAGTACTGAAATTGATTGTTGGATAATTGATTCAGGCGCCACAGATCATATGACAAACAAAGTTACAAATTTACATCATTTTAAAAAATTTTCAAGCCCCTCACATGTGTCTGTTGCAAATGGAAAAAATGTCTTAGTTTTGGGAAAGGGAGAAATAAACTTACTCTCTCAAAAAACACCTTCCACTGCCCTCTATGTACCAACCTTTCCCTTTCAACTTTTGTCAATTGGAAAGATCACCAACACCCTAAACTGCCGTGCTATTTTCTCACCAAATAAAGTAATGTTTCAGGATGTTCTCACCATGAAGATGATTGGTGAAGGGGTCTTCATAAATGGACTTTACTACTTGTGCAAGAATGCATGTTTCACTCAGGCTCTTCAAGCTCAATCAAAGTCCATAGATGAAAACCAACTTTGGCATAAGAGATTAGCTCACCCCTCTGAACTTGTCTTGTCGAAACTGTTTCCAAATTTTTGTAACCCCTATCCTACTTGTGATACTTGTCAATTTTCTAAGTTTACTAGGCTACCTTTTGGTAATTCAATGTCTAGGACAAGTAAACCTTTTGAAATGGTACACACCGATGTATGGGGACCTGCAACTGAATCAATGGAAGGTTTTAAATATTTTGTTCTATTTGTTGATGATTTCTCTCGAACAAGTTTTCTATATCTTATGAAATCAAAAAGTGAAGTCCCTACCATTTTCAAAGACTTTCACATGCATGTTAAAACGCAATTTCAATCAAACATTAAGGTTTTAAGGTCAGATAATGGCACTGAATTTCTATCCAACAACATGCTTCAATACATAAGTTCTCAGGGTATCATACATCAAACCAGCTGTGTGGGAACTCCCCAACAAAATGGAGTAGCCGAAAGGAAAAATAGAGATCTCTTGGAAAAAACTCGTGCTCTCATGATTCACATGCACGTTCCAAAGAAATTTTGGTCGTTTGCCATCCTTACTGCCACTTATCTCATAAATCGACTTCCAAGTCGTGTGCTAGGGTTTAAATCTCCATATGAAGTTCTCAAGGGGAGGAAAATAGATTTGACACATCTCAAGGTGTTTGGTTGTGTGTGTTTTGTTCACATCCAAACCTTGAACCGTGACAAACTAGATGCCAGGGCAATCAAGTGTGTGTTTATGGGATACTCGACCACTCAAAAGGGATACAAGTGCTTCAATCCAGTCACTAAGAAGTGCACAGTTTCAAGAGATGTGAAGTTCGAAGAAGACTATCCCTATTTTACAAGTCAGGGGGAGGATTTAGTTGACATGTTCCCACTCCCTCAAAACTTTAATTATCCGATGTTGGAAAAGAGATCAGTCATTTTAAGTCCAGATTGTGAAGAAGTTCAAACTGACCAAATTACTGCCAATGAGAGTGAAGACGAGCCCTACTCTGATCCTTCTCCGCCTTCTACAGAGTCTCAGGTGATTAAAAGAAATCCTCCTCGAATCAGAAAACCTCCAGCTAGGTTGCAGGACTATGTTACATATGCCTCACGACATCCAATCAATGAATGTATCAGCTTTAGTAAGTTCTCAACATCTCATGCTGCATTTCTCAGTGAAATTGATAAGCACTATGAACCAAGAAGCTTTCAAGAAGCTTCTCTTCTCCCACAATGGAACCAAGCCATGAAAGAAGAGATTCGTGCACTGGAAGAGAATTGCACCTGGAGCCTAGTTCAACTACCACCAGGAAAAAAGGCTGTTGGAAGTCGTTGGATTTACAAGACTAAATTCAAAGCTGATGGATCTATCGAGAGACACAAGGCTAGACTTGTTGCTCGAGGTTTCACCCAAACCTTTGGTGTAGATTATAAGGAAACATTCGCACCGGTGGCCAAGATGAACTCAGTCAGGGTTTTACTGTCAGTTGCAATCAATTGTGGATGGTCACTCTACCAAATGGACGTGAAGAATGCTTTCCTTCACGGCGAGCTGCAGGAAGAAGTGTATATGCAACCTCCTCCTCCAGGCTATGATGGTATTAAAGGCAACATGGTTTGTAAATTGCACAAGGCAATATACGGATTGAAACAATCACCAAGAGCTTGGTATGCCAAGCTTAGTTCTGTTCTGGAAAAGGCTGGATTCATGCGAAGTAATGCTGATTCTTCGTTATTTGTAAGAACTGGCACCAGGGGGAAGTTGGTGGTCCTCGTCTATGTTGATGATCTTATCATCACTGGAGATAATACCGTGGAGATTGAGGCACTAAAAACTCTCACTACATCAAGCTTTCGCTATCAAAGATTTGGGGAGGTTAAAGTATTTTTTGGGGATCGAAATGGCAACATCTTCAAAAGGACTGTTTCTACATCAAAGGAAATATGTATTGGACCTCCTTCAAGAAGCAAAAATGCTTGACTGCAAGCCTGCTATCACTCCCGTTGATTGTAAACTGAAGCTCAGCATAGATGGAGAAGCCATGCATGATGTAAGCTACTATCAACGATTAGTAGGCAAGCTCATATACCTCACTATCACTCGTCCAGATATCACATATGCAGTGAGCTTGGCTAGTCAGTTCATGCACTCTCCCACTGTTGATCACCTTAACCTTGTTAAGAGAATCCTTCGTTATCTTAAGGGTTCAATTGGGCAAGGAATTACAATGCATAACAATCAGTCCACTGTCATTAGTGGCTACACAGATGCAGACTGGGCAGGTAATGCAATTGATAGGAAATCAATCACAGGCTATTGTACATTTGTTGGTGGAAACCTTGTCACATGGAAGAGTAAGAAGCAACAGGTAATTGCTCGTTCCAGCGCAGAAGCTGAGTATCGAGCCATGGCAGCCACTGCGTGTGAACTCATTTGGCTTAAAGGGCTTCTTTCAGACTTAGGGTTTCCTAGTTCTACTCCTATGACGCTTATGTGTGATAATCAGGCAGCCATGCACATTGCTGCCAATCCTGTGTTCCATGAAAGAACCAAACATATTGAAGTGGATTGTCATTTCATCCGAGCTCAAGTTCAAACGCAAATCATCCGGACCATGTTCACACGAAGCCATGATCAACTAGCAGATCTTTTTACAAAGGCACTAGCATCATCTCAGTTTCATCGGTTATTGGGCAAGCTTGGCTCAGTGAATCCCTTCGATCCAGCTTGAGGGGGAGTGTTGGAAGAATGCATGCAAGTCATATCTTGTGTTAAAATACATGCATGAAATAAACATGTTGGATGACTAGTGAAGTTAGGCTAGTCAACATTCTTTGTGTAAATTAGGCAAGTTAGGCAAGTTAGGAAATTAGGCATGTTAGGCAAGTTAGGCAAGTTAGGCTTATGTCTACTTTCTTTTCCTATATATATGTTTCATTTGTAATTGTTTCTTCATGAAATACACATCAAAAATTCTACAGTGAAACACCAATTATTTTCTGTAACAAATTTTTACATAGTTGATAAAATGGGACTTGACGTTACAATGGTAAGTCCCAAGTGATCCATGGCTAGAAGAAGTTTTTCTCCTTCAAACTTTCCACGGTATCCCTGGTAAGTTGGTGTGAATCATTTGTCATCTGCACATCTGTGAAGAACACACAGACGTTAAACTTTCAAATCTGAAGTCCAAATTATCTGTCACACAAATTAGCAACTACGAAGAATATGCAAATCACTCACTGTACAGACCATTTCACTTGCAGTTTGTACATCACTCACGGTACCTCAGACCAAGGCAGGGATTCTTTATGAAATACTTAGTTTCTCAAAGGCTAGAACGATATAGGCTTGATAAAGATATTGTTCTATATTAATAGGATCTCAGGCATGCCAGTTGTAACCCAAATATCCTCAGACACGAATACTACAAATTATATGCAAGATGGAATTGCCGAGGGTTCAATTGGCAATTTAGCTAGGCCAACCTTAGTATCCATAACCGAAAAAAAGAAGGCAACTACTCGGTTCCTCCAATTGCAAATAGCATCGTACTTACATGCCAATCACAATTTCAATATTTCACGTGTGCAGAAATTGTTCTTTTTGTTTTTGTAATGAGTTATTTCTGCATACGTGTCAAAGTATAATCTACAGGACCAAGGGATGACTTCTTCCGGGGAAAGAGCCAAGAAGTGTCCAAAAAAGAGAATACAAATTTGACACGAACTGTTTCAACTCTCATTTATGCATAAAGTTGTGGTTAATAAGCTTAATCGCTAAAAGCTGGCAAGAATGTCGAAAACAGTTCAAGGCCTTGCCTTAACTGGACTTCAAGAACTACACTTGAACTCCAGATGAAGACCTACACCAAAAGATCTTCTTTCGCTGAACGAAACGATATACAAAACACAGAACTATCAATCCAACATCAAATGATCTTTAATTCTTTGCTTCATTACAAATGACAAATTCCAAATGATGTAATCAGAGTCTAAACACTTTATAGCATATCTCATACATGAAAGTTAATGCTCTAAAACTCAATTCTCTCTCTTTCCTAAACCATGAAAAGAACATCCAAAAAGTTTACCAATTTTTTCAAAAAGCATACTCTCTGCAAATGCAATTTCATGGAAAAATCCTACTAATCACTTTCATTAGGGTCCAACAAGTCACCCAAACCCCAATTTCTTTTCTTCAACCTCTCCTCAACGCTCTCCAAACGCCGAAGCATAGTCTCCGCCAGAAAATCCTTGCCCCTGCAGTTGTGGAAAAACGAGTGCTTCAGCAGCGTCTCTGCTGCCGGCCTCTTCGTAGGGTCCTGATCAAGGCAAGAACCCATCAAGTCCAGAAAAGCCACAGAGTACTTCTTGGTCTTGAAATCTTTGATGATGTTTTCGCAATCTGAAAACTGGTACCTCTTCTTGACCTTCAGAATCTCAGACTCCAAAAACAGCGACAGACGAGACATAGGAGAGCCACCGTCAGCCAAATCGATCGCCGTCCTCCCAAATGCCAAGATATCCGCCTTGCATCCACCTCCATTGGGCGCCACCCTATAAGGCGTTGCCGAAGTGTAGTTTGTCCCAGTTGAATGATCGGCGCCGTAGAAAGAAGCAGAGACCCCGAAATCGGCGAGCTTAACGGACCCATCAGAGTCGACCAAGATGTTTTCGGGCTTGATGTCGCCGTGGACGTGTCCCTGGCCATGGAGATACGACATGGCGTTTAGCGTCTCTTTCAGGACGACAGCAATGCAGGGCTCTGGTAATCCTTCCGGGAAAGCAGAGGAGGAGATTATGGACTGCAGAGAGCCGAAGGCCATGAACGGCATGACCACCCAGAGACGGCGGTCAGCGGTGGTGAAGGCGCAATGGTAGCTGAGAATGTTGGGGTGGGAAAGAGAAAAAGTCTTGGTGCCGCGTAGCTTGCCCTCGAAATCGGCCGTGGATTGATTGAGGTCGACGGACTTGATTGCGACGATTGCAGAGTTCCTGGAAACGCAGATGGCCTTGTAGACGACGGCCTTGCCGCCGAAGCCAATTTTTTCGAGGTTTTTGTACGCGGCGGAGTCTATCGGGAATTGAACCTTTTGTGGGTTATCATGGTGGGAGGAGGAAGACGAAGAAGTCGCCATTGGAGACGACAAAGATGAAATCTTGAAGAATGGAGAAGATGAATGTAGGGATTCTGCAGTACTAATTCTAGTGAAAGGTTGATGCTTTGGGAGGAAGACGACGATGCATGAGAATGTGCGAGTGTGTACTGCTCTGCTTGTATTTACTTATAGAATAAGAAATGGTAAGAAGATGAGGGTTTTTTGGGGATTTTCTATTCCGAATGGGGGATAAAATTATAGATAAGTTTTAATTTTTTGCCCCTTGATTTGGTTAATTAGCAGAATCATCAACATTCTGTTGTGAGGCGGTTTTGGTAAGCAGGATTGGGTGAGGTTGGTTAAGATAAAATACAGTAAGTTCGTTTTCTGTTATTTGCCATCTCAGCAATGTCTTGGGACGCAAGGCATTGTTACTCCTGTTGTGAGTACCTCGTATAAATATTTCGAAAGGACTATAAGCACACGAACAAAATACGTATTTGAGACCCGTAAGTTCATGAACAAGACTGATCCACTAACCTATTAAAATCATTCTTCAAGATGTCATTAAAAGTCAAGTAAGCCTTAAAAAAAAAAAAACAGGTGATTTTTTTTTTTTTTTGCTAATGTAACCAAATTGTGTAAAAAAATATGACGTGATCGTTGATAATTGAACTAAATAAACCAAAACGCTAGAACTTCCTCTGGACCAAAGATGACATTTTATTCCACAAGCTCACTTATGAGCAGATTGGCATGAGAGAATATACAAACTCTGTGCAACAAGATTCTTAAGCTGGCCCAACCATTCCATCAACTTTCCAGGTAATTGATTGTTCCCCAAATGAAGAAGAGAAGGTGTATAAATTAAACAAAGAACTGTAAGGACTCAAGCAAGCCCCCCGAGTTTGGTACAGTGAGATTGACTCTTACTTCAGCAATAGTGGATTCAACAAAAGTCCTAGTGAAGCTGCACTCTACACAAAGTTTCCGTCCTTTCAAGGGTAATTTTCTTAGATGGGCCCAATCTCAAAGTTTCCGTCATATCGAGCTAAAAATATAGGTAACGGGTTAAGATGTGTGGTTTTCCATGAGAACGATGATCAGTTGGGAAGATGCATCAACTGGTAATCATACTACAGCGTATCAAAAGAGTAAACTAGAGGTGTATTTGCCTGGTTTGGACCTAGTGTTCTTAAGCTCTGAGAAAAATGAATTTGATTGAAAATTCACAATTTTTGTGAGTTGAAGGTCCTGAACTACATCTAGCTTATATAGTCAAAGAAATCTGCTGTGTCCTTCCTTATAGGGAGTGACTAAGGGCAATTTGAACATTTAGCTAGGACCAGCTCTGTGCCATCGCCGGAAGTTCATACGAATTGACTGTGCGTTCGTACGAAGGCATGTCGCATAGGCACTTGTGCCTGACGTCTGCAGCCGCAGACACATTGAAGAACGACGATATTGGGGAAAGAAATCTTAATTTCAAGATATATCAAGAGTGCCCTAATTAGGATTTCTTTGAAGAGTAAAGACAATTTCAACTTGAACTATTTCATTTAGAGATATTGGGCAACATTATTAATTACACATGAGCCACATATCAAAGATCTTAAGCAACTCCTGAGCATTTTCGTAGACAATTCTGAGGCTCTCTGCAGATTACATTTAAATTATTTAACAGGAAAAATCTATTGGCCCTCTTTGGAATATTTAAGCATAAAACAAACTTCATTTCCCACTTATTCGCCTCGTGCACTAAATTAACAAATTGCTGCAGGTTGCAGAATTCAAAACTTGAGGAAGCCCTTCTCCTTGAGGCTTTCAACAGTGTCCTTGAGACTCGTTTCCAGAGGAAGGAAAGTGATTCCCAAACCTTTTGCTTTCTCCCTGGACACTTGAAACTTTGTGTCAGAAGGATTGCCAAGCTCAGGAAGGCTCAATGTGGGGTAAAGCTCTCGTAAAATCTTTAGAGTATCGGTACGGTCAGCAACGTGGGCAACTAAACAATATCTGCCGCTCGCTGAAGGAACTTCAAATGCTTGAATATGAGCAGAGGCAACATCTCTAACGTCCACAAATGTGTAGTTTACAAACGGTATTTCAATCCCTGAGCACAAAAGAGAAACTTAACAGAATCAACTGCTTGCATCACAAGGAATAGTGTTTTAACAAAAGGGGCTGAATTGTACCACTAATTATATTCAGAAGAAACTCGATGGAGACATTAAGAGTTGGCTGTAAGGGTGGACCAATCACAAACCCTGGATGTATCGATACCAATTCAATCCCATTTCCTTTGGCAAATTTCCAGGCGGCCTCCTCAGCTAAAATTTTTGAGAGAGGATACCATTGCTGAACAGATGAAGAAGGAAGTTCTTATGAGTTTGTAGTTCTTCATCATGTACTGCTTTGTCTTGTGTGAAGCTTACATCTATGTCCAAAATTATTCAATAGTATGGGAACGCACGTACCTTTGTCTTCTCACAAAAAAGTGGATCCGAATAGCATGTTTCGTCGAAAACCACATCAGAGGTCAGAGGTTTTCCACTCATCCTTACTGAAGCCACAGAAGATGTTAAAACCACTCTCTTGACAGCGGGGAATTTCGCACATGATTTTAGAACATTAAGTGTTCCTTTCACTGCAGGCTCAATTATTTCTGCCTGAAATATAAAGAAAAGAAATATATCATTCTGGGTTCTACATCATTTGTCTTGAAAGTAGGTTAATTTTCTATGCATTCGTGAACGCGCACACACGCTAGAATATTTGATGCATGGATGAAGTGATGGGACAGACCTGTGGGTCAGTGGCTGAAATTTGTGCAGGCGATGCCGTATGAAAAACACCTACACATCCATCAACTACAGCGTCAAATGATCCTTCTTCTAATAAATCCGCTTTGAACAAATGAAGCCTCTCCTTTGCTCCATCCAATGAAAGCAAGTGTTCCGTTTTCTTTGCATCATCTGTAAACAAAACTAGTGAGTTGAACTAAGAATACAGGAAGCAGCAAAAGTGGCAAACGATGACTAACTAAAGGTAAGGTTTCAATTGGCAACGGAAAACAAGAACAAGAATAATAAAAAGAAAATAATTGGATGCACGGGAGATGTCGTTGGTACTCAAAATAGTCATCCTGCACGCCAGTGACGCCACCCAAATGAAAAAAAAAAAAATAAGAAGGCAAGGTGTACATGATGATTATTTTGGATACCAACTTTTCCTTTGGTGAACAAACAAAACAATATGCAAAACCCAGAAATTGAATGTTGAGAATCAATGTCAAGCCCAAAACCATAAGTAATCCACAACCCAATCTAAAGTCCAAGTCCATATCTAGATTGATGATGTAAGTGCTTACAATTGCAAAGTTAGGCAATGTTAGGTATGTGTGAAACAAATAATTAGGTGCAATTAATGTGTTTTGTGTGGTAGTAAATAATCTTAGTTTAATTAAGTAGCTTTCATTTGGTTTGCTATAAATACCCAAGTCCCCAAGCCTTGTAAATCATCCAAGGAAAAACAAAGCCTAGAGCTAAATAAGAAAAGCTTTGCTAATTAGTTTGTTTTGTGAGCTTTCTTTAAGAGTGTGCTCTATTTTTCTTCTTCTTGGGATCATTAGAGTTATCTTGGATACTCTTCTTATTCAACAATTGGTATCAAAGCCAAGTCGGTCAGGGATCGTTCTTGGTAGAGCATTGGTTGTAAAGTCTCTTGAAATTCCGAGTATGCTCTGTGGTTGCAGTTTTGACTGATCTTCCACATCAGAAAAGATTTCTTGAGATTATTGCTGGGGTTATCACAAACCTTGAGAGGGAGCTTCTTTGTGTCGAGAGTAGTGTATTACTCTGCACGGTAGTCACTCAAGCTTGTTCAGTGTAGTCAAAGTCTTGCCGATACGATGGGTGATCTTCAAGTTGTTGGAGGAATCAAGAAGCTCAACAACCAAAACTATAACACGTGGCAACGTGTATAGAGTCTTACCTTCAAGGTCAAGACTTGTGGGAGGTTGTCGGTGGTAGTGAAGTTACACAACCGGCAGCGGAAGATGCTAACGGCGTCTTGCGG